AATTACACCTCAACATCCGTGGCCATGCACAATTACACCTCTACACATCCGAGCCATGCGGGGGCCATGCCATGCCAGCATGGTGCTTCTTTGGAGGCATGAGTTGCTTTACCACTGCACAAGCTGAACCATGCCATCGTTGTCACATGCAATTCTAGATATAAAGACACCGAGTTGTGCTGACTGATCTCACACTAGTTGTGAAACACACGAGTGTACTTTACTGCAGAATACTCTGCTCCTCGTTGGGCTGAGAGTTACCACACCAACAAACATCTTAAACATCACAAATGAGTATCGTCACCAGCAAAATAAAGTTAACTCTATTACTCTGGCTCTCTGTTATAGAAGATGTCTCATAAAACCAGTCTTCTTTTATATGGCATTTTTGGGGATTGCAACAGATTACAAATTTATGTCGAGATTTCATATCCATTCGACTACTTCAGGAGTAGTCACGTGGATTTGTTTCAGATTGCCATTGAATTATCTGATTAGGCAGTCCTTCACGGTCTGAGATGTCGCACCACAGTCACAAACTGTTTGTTTCATTTCTCAATCCACTTATCTTAGTGAGGGTCGCGGCATGTTGATTAGGGCAGACTCTAGCTCTTTCTGGGGAATTCCCAGGCATTCCCAGGCCAGCCGAGCCACATAGTCCCACCAGCGTGTCCTGGGCAGGCCCCAGGATCTCCGCCCAGTGATTGTAACCCTGCCATAGGATCGTAACCTGATCGTGGTTTGTGTGTTCCGATGACCCTCAGCGCTATGTCGCCTGTAGTCTTGTACTCCTCATCCTCCCCCCAATGGAATTTTTGCCCCTTAGTTGTCAAGGCATGGAGAGGTTTCGTAATGGACGCAAACCCGGTGACAAAACAGCGACAAAACGGCGATAGTATGACACGAAGCCGATGAAACTGCACACCTCCCTCGCCGAGGTGGGGGTCGGCCATGTTCGGACACACGCAGTTTTCTCCGGGTCTGTTATGATACCCGCTTCGCTAACTGTGTGGCCCAGATATCGAACTGATTTCTGGAGGAGGTGACATTTCTGCAGCTTAAATTTCAGGTCGGCCACATGTATTTTAAGGAAACAGCCCGCAGGCGATCCACATGTTCATCGTACAACCAAAAACGATAACATCGTCCAAGTATACCAGGCACAAATCCCACTGGAGGCCCGCTAAGACCAGATCCATTAACTGCTGGAACGTGGCTGGCGCAGAGTGGAGCCCCATAGGGAGCCAGTTAAACTCAAACAACCCTTGCGGCATCCGAAAGGCCATCTTGGGTTTTGAAGCCTCATCAAGTGGCAGCTGCCAAAACCCCGATAGAAGGTCAAGGGTAGAAAAGAACCATGCCCCCGCTAATGCATCTGCGACAGCAACCTTAAAGTTTGCGGAAATCAACACAAAACCGCAAGTTGCCGTCGTGCTTCTTGACATGCACAATCGGAGCACCCCAAGAACTGGTGGATGGTGAGATAATGTCCGCGACCATCATCTCATCAACCGCCATCTGAACATGTTCCTTTTCGGCCGGACTCAGTCAATATGGTGGCTCAAGAGAGACATGCGGCCAATGTCAAATTTACTCTTACAAAAAATATCAGAAAATTCACGTTAGAGTGCTATCAGCTTCCCCATTTGTCCCACAGACAAATTGCCACACTCAGCACAAAGTTTGTCGATCCAACTTTCATCCGCATCACAGGGTTGGCATGAACACTGACCCTGACACTCCCGACGACGTCCCTCTCCGGACGCGCCGGTGACGCATGAGCTAGCATGGTACCCTCCTGAATAACCGTTGTGTCCGACCCGGCATTAAGAACCTGAATGAAAGGTTCCTGGTTCTGGGACACCAACGTCTGAGCCGCCACAAGCGACATCCCGCGACCGAGTTTATTAGAGGGCCCTAACATGATACGGTCCCCCGCAGTACACAAATCAAGCGGTTTCCGCAACTGGAGGGGTACTAACATTTGCATGCTGGGCGGAATCCGCACCGTTTGGGACGCAAGTGCCTGCATTGTGGTGTTAGTGGCACACGTACGGGTGGGAGACGGAAGGAATACCATACGTCGTCCCGATGGCAGTTCCAAACAGCCCTGATCAACACAAATCTTCAGGGGAATTTTTCCTAGAAAATCGGTCCCGAGCAAACAGGGGACGGCTAGGGCCGTGGAAACCAGAACATGACCCGACAATTTAACATCAGCGATATGCAATTCGGCTGTTATCCGACCGATAATGCCCAGCAATCCGCCGTTGGCGGCAAAACACAGAGCATCCACAGGCTCCGAAACGCGACACCAGGGGGGTAAAAAATGATAAATGAGTTCATAAATGATGGTCGAGGATGTGCTGGTGTCAACGAGCCTACGAATCTTTACCCCCTCAATAAATCCGAGCATGGCCGATGATCCCACGGCTGCCGCTACCACCCGATGAGCCAGCTCCGACCACTGATTTGGTCGGAGCGGGCGAGCGTCACGAACGCGTACCGACTCCCCCCGTACCCACGCACGACCCCGATGCAAATTGAGCTCGGCGAGGATCGTGGACGCCGCCTGGAGAAGCTTTGCGAGACAAACATGTGCGTCTCTGACGAGCGCCTCCATCGATGGCGAGGTGTCGCGTGCCTTGACAGCACTCTGCTCCACCGGCAGCACCTCCGCTCCCTCCTCGGGGGCCGTGGGCGGAATCAGCTCCTCGTCGTCATCGTCTGACGCCCTGGTACGAACTATGTGATGTGTGGATATGACTATCTACTGCTAGCTATAAAATAGCAAGTTAGCCACTTCCGCCACCAGTTGTGGTGTGTACAACTGAGTCGCTGCTGCTGACTTAGGAGCAACACGTTTATTTGTACCAACATAACATACACCTAGGGTGGTGACCACCCGACTAACCACGCTAACACATTAACACATGAGTGCTATGCTATCCCGGTCTGGACCACGAGCTTGGTCCGGGACCGCATGGTTGGAGGCTTCTTCAAGGCTTGACGTGGATCTTGCAATACTGCAACACGAAGAACCCTGGGCCCGTCTCAGGGACCCCATTATATCTGCCCGAGCTGGGGCTGGCTCCGCCTCTGGTCCCGCCCACGTTCGAGATCTTTCTCGCCCTTACCTGAAGGCTCTAGAAATCTCTTCCCGGATCACGTGACCACCCTTTGGCCCCCTCCGCCTGGGGCCCCCCTCCGGTATTGTCCGGTCATGTGTTCACAGGTCAGCCAGAGTGTCATCACCCAAGGTAACCCATGCTGGGCTGACATCCTCTCGCTCCTTCAAGCGGGAGCCCGCACCGCACGCTGCGTGTGGTGCCACCACGCTAACCAGCGCTCCCCCAAGCCCCCACTAGGGTTGGTACTACACCCCATGTCTGGGGTGTATGCGATGACGATGCATCGTCCGCCGTGGCCTTGCAGGCCCGGCTCCATACAGTGACATTCCCAGTCACTACAAATGTATACCCCATGCGCAAATGGTTGCAGGTGGATAGTTTGAGGGTGCTACTCTTCCAACTTGTCTTTTGCAGTCCAGTAAATCCATGCAATTTCTCATAACAGCTCAACGCAGGTAAAATATTCCGAATATTATGGCCACATACTTATTAATTAAATTACTTGACCTTACCATCTGAAATTGAAAAATCAAATACGGTGTTTTTTGCACTGCAAGCCACCACTCCCAAGATCCCATTGGAGTTAAAATCACGTTCATCTGCATTGTATATTTTTGCAGCTCGGTGCACAATTGTAAAAATCTGTTTTCGTAAATATTTATTGTGTAATCAACAAACGAAACCAACATTTTCATATACAGTACAGATGTACAGCCCTGTTGTCAATCCACTGCTGGATGAGGTCCTGCAATTTTGATATCAGGGCTCTACGACAGATTCGACCAATATTGAGTTGTGACATAGCCATTATGGTGGCGTGTTGCATAGTATGGACAGGGCTCGATTATTGCAACTCACTACTCTACGAAACGTCTCGCAAAAACATTCCCAAGCTGCAGCATGTACACATTTTTTTGGCATGTGTTGTGACGGTTAATGCAAGATCTGATCATGTCCGTCCGGTGCTCGTCATGTCCGTCCGGTGCTCGCTGAGCTGCATTGGCTTCCGGTTGCCAAACGAATACATTATAAGATTGCACTATTACATGCAAAGTGCTTGCCACAAATGAACCACAATGCCTTGCTGATCTCAAGGAGCATAAAGCATCACACAAACTCTGGTCATCATCGCAGTGACTTTTGGCTAGCCATCGAACAAAGATGGTTACTGCATTGTGCATTTTCAGATGCACTTCTGTGGCCGTCTGGAACGCTCTTCCTTTCGATATTAGGAAGCCACTGGATCTATGCACGTTTAGATCGAGAATGAAAACTTATTTCTTTAGAAGTGCTTTTTGTGCTAAGTTAGTTGCCCTTCCCGCGCAACTCCGATTAGCACGGTTGGGTATGTACAGTGTGAAAGAACTTCAACATACATTTATACATATGGATTATGGATGTTATTTTACAAAATTGTACCAATTTGATTAGTGGAGGTTGCTGAAGAGGGGTTGCATATATACACGGGACAACAACGAATATTGCTATGTTGTCCCCTATTGCCCATCACAGCATGTTAAAATTAATATATACTTTGATCCATCAGGCTTCATTGTGCAAATTTACTTTATTAAGCAGATCCCTACAGCAAAGCACATTTAGTGTGCCACTGACCAGTCGTCACGATGTTTGTGGAAAGCTCTTGCCTACAACATCTCGCTGCCTGGAATTTGTTGAATTGGCCACACTGCTGATGAGACTCTGAAAGTATAAACCATCCCCAAGTTTCGGGGATGCTCCCAAGTGTAAATTGGTTTATGCACTGATGTAACATTATTTCAGAGGGTGATAATCAGTCTTAGCAATGAATTGTATATGTCAATAAATATGAATGCTGAATGTTTGTCCTCTGCCATTTGCTACCTGCAGAAAAACACATTACAATTCCTTTTGTAATTGGGACCCTCATTCTTTTGGTGGTGGTGGTGGTGGTGGTGGTGGCCGTATTGATTTATCGGAAGAAGAAATGCTTATATCCCTTTGGTAAGAAACATTACATCATTTTATGTAATTTGCATTGTTTAATAATGAGACCAATGCTTCATGAGTGGCCCATCCGTGATTCATGAGACAACTAATAAGGGCTGTAGATTAATTGGAAGATTTTCCAAAGCGCATCACAAAAAGCTTGAAGGAAAATGGGCAATGTCCAAGATAAGACTCTGCAGTACTCCTGCTTATTACAATGTTAATGCGCAGCATTTGGATAATGCAAAATATTCACTTAAGTTTCTAGTCAGCAATTATGAATATGATGCATCTCAATATAGACACCACTATGTATATATAATAATTGTATTGTGTTGATTTGTTTAAATGTTTTCTTTGTTCGTGCTGCACACTACTCTTCAACGTAACTAACGTCAACAAAATGTCACCAAACATCTACTTAAATATTTCAAAGACACAAAAACACCCCACAATTATACATGCTTTATGCCCACGCCAAACTTACCAAATCATTAGGACCTTCAGAACCTCAGAAAGTCTAGATTAAGATCCTGGAACCCACTGTGAGATCGAGCATAAGGTCTCAAAGTGCCCTCATTCAACTTGAGTCCCGGGAGTGAGTCACCTACAACACTGCAAAAGTCCCTAACCAGCACAGAATCACTGAGTTCATGGAAGAAACTATCAAATACAATTTGCCCTACAAACAATGGGCTGTATTTATCTGAATCAGAACATCGCATTGCAGATGTGGCTATATTATGCACTGAAAATTTAAGAATAGCACACAGTGTGATAGCAGACACAACCTCAAACCTTGGAGCACATAGTCTGGCACTACCTGCTTTTAAAATTAACTTGTAGAATTTCAGATAATCATCAAGCTCTTCCAGCAACCGTTCACTGGTTCAGCAACCTCGACATAAATTTAGCTGATCAGCTTCCATCTGTACGAAAAAAAATGTGTTATTCTACAATATTAATGTGCATTGATCCTGTCATCCAAGTAATACACTGTTTAACTGCATGCCTATACAGGTCACCATAAGTCTATGGGGATTACCTGTGAGCAGATAACAGTTACTGATATTTTCGTGCACACAAACATCAGGATGTACAAGAACAATGTGCATGCATAATGTACTTGATTACCATATGAATAATCCAACCAGCAATGGATACCCATTATAATGTATATGCATTCCAGGGGCTCCCAAGTGAAGACATCAAATCTATTTCTCTATTTAAGAACGAAACAGGAGGATATCTCCACAAATCTGGCTGTCACCTGATGAAGCTAGTTGCCATTATTGGCGAAACGTCGTACTCAGATTGTAAATGTTGTGGATTTACTCTAAAACACCCCGATGTGCTGCACTCGTAACGAATTGGCATGTTTTGTTTACGTAACAAACTTTACTAATTGGCTGTGTCGGGTGGTGGCGGGTATAACGACGCATTTATATTTATGCGATCTAATCCAAAAAAGATTTGATATGGATCCATACATCTGCTTCACATTTAGGACCAGAATTCCATCTTCATGAAACAGCTGACACACATTACCTTGGAGATTTTCCACATTGCTAATAATGGTGCATTTAAACACAAAATCTAACTTAAATAAATGTTAGTCAAGATATCAGAAACAGTATGTTTTAGTCGGAAAATTTGGTTGCTAATTAGAGATTGCATCATGCACAACAGATGAATTAATAAAAAAAAATATTGCTGTACAATTGTTTCAGTGGACATCTAATGACTGATAACACCATCCTATAATCTCACACCTGTACCGTCACTATGATCACGTGCCTTGCAATCGTTTTTACTCTACGTTTTGAAGTTTACTACGAACAGAGCTGGTTCACTTTTAGACACACTCCCATAATACCATAGTCATAACAGCATTCAGCATACATTGTGCTCCCAGGATCATCATTAGCAATGCTTTCAGTAGATGCTACTGAGTTGACGTGTCATGTTATCTTCTTGTACGGGAACAGATGATTCTGGCAAAGTGACAGAGACTGTGCCCCTTCTTCTTTTGGAAGTGCCCAAGGCTGTCCTTAAGGTAAGTCAAGCAGCGTCTGCTGGGGCCTGGCTCCCATGACATTGCATCACAGGAACTCATGTACTCTTGTGGAGCCTTCCACTGTCTAATTGTGGTGTGTAGACTCTCCCAGAACTATCTTACACCTACTTTTGGTGTGGTGGTGTGGCGTTGTGGGTTGTGGTTTGTGGTGGTGATTTGGTAGGGTCTTAGAATGGTTAGCCCAAGCTGGCCGAAGTATTTCCCATCATGTTTTTCAAGACTTCCCTGGGACTCTGCTGGTGCTGGGAATCTCTGTTGTCTGAATGTTGCCCGATTGTACTGGCTGTGGTCACTGTTTGTCATGTTTCTCTGCCATGGATCTTTTGTATAATTTTATATCTCTTTTCCTTACTCTCTCTTTTGCTCTATTTTCACTGTTTTGCATTTCACTGCATTTTAAGTTGCTTTGAGATGCTGTGACATTGAAGCTATGAATACAGATCATCCTCAACCAATAGCACAATAGGAATGTATTGCCAATCGCAATATATTTTCCAATGTCTTAAAAACTACATTTACTCATACAATAAAAGTAATCGGCATGATCTATTTACAATCGATTGACCAAAACCTCCCATGTCACCCATTCAATCGCAGCTATAGCTGGAATGATGAATCGATTTAATTGATCCATTAACTATAATTTGTAATTGACGACGTTGTTGTGGTCAATTACTCTCGCCATTTAAAACTGGCAACTGCCCCACTTAATGCCTCCCAAAGATAACAACCCAGTATACATTCAATGTTGAGCCAACGTTGACATGTGGATGGACCGTTAGACCAATGTTCCACCCTTACTGTAAATTTCCATACAAGCTCCACTCTGTGACGCATCTGATGATGCAATGTACATCAACAAGCTCCTACGCCACTTCCCATTCAACAGCAAATATGGGACCAGAGGTGAGATGTTTCCAACTTTTATTTGAGTAAGCCAATTCAACAGATAATCAATCCAATAACTGGCAGAGTACTCCGAAACAAATACAATATATTTCACAAAATAACTGGATATCTTAGATTTCGATTTAAAGCTTTCGTGACTGCAGGGATTCATCTTCTTGGTTCTTTCGGTAAAGTCACGTAGAAGGGAAGTAATAAAATAATAAAAATAAAACGTAATAAAATATTATTTTATTACTTCCCTTCTACGTGACTTTACCGAAAGAACCAAGAAGATGGATATCTTAGCTCTAATCAGAACCACTATAAGCATGCATATTGCTGAAGATACATACGTTCAAACAGTATTGGCACTGGAGAACTGAAAACTATCAAAGGAAGATGTATAGTAAGCAGTGAAACTGTAAAATTATACCTTTTGAAAGTCAGTTGTCACCTTTATAACAATTGTGGGATCCTAGACAAATAAAGCTCAATGCCTTAGTAGTCCTAAACCATTAGAGGAAATTCCAGATAGCAATGGCAGGGCCATTTATCCCTTTTCAGAAATGTAAGTGTTGCAATAATACGCACCCAATATCTAACTCCTTATTTTAGCAACTCTGGAGGAAGGATGTCAAATAATGCAAGAGTAAAATCTACAACCATAGAAATATAATGAAACAATTCCCCTTGTGGCTTCTTTCCCGTGTGGACAGGAAGCACGAATGCTCATCGAGAAGAGAATGAAATCCAGTAATGCTGAAGTTTGGCGGCAGTTCCATGAGTTGCTGCCAGAAGTGTATAAATCCATCTCTGAAAACACCTTCTATTTCTTGTACGAGATGGATAAAAAATACAACATTCCCATACGGGTGTACTGGAATGTTTATGAAATTACTGACATCTCAGCACGTGCAAGCTATTTACTCAATTATTTTATTCATGAGGGTGAGAAAGAGTGCCAGGGGCTTCTAGAGATGATCCTTGCAGGACAGAACAAGCAAACGCAGCTGCAGACCCTACTTGACTCTGCCGGTATGTGGGATCTGATGAGTAACTGGGCCTCACTGTGGGACTTTTCTTAGTTAATCATGGATATCACTACTAAAAGAGATGTTGCTGCTAGGTATCGTTTAAGTATGCATTACAGCTAAAATAAGTATTAAATAATAGTTTTTTTTAATCTAAAAACTGAGGTAATTGTATTGTTAAGTACAAACATTAAGTAATTGTTTAAATTGCAATAATTTAACAATATCATCCATGCTTCCATCTCATTTTGTTTGACTTAAAACCAGGCCTTATATATCTTGGATCGATAAACTGAACTCTGGTTGTGAATGTCTGTTGACATGTTTCACTGGTTTCTTTGCAGTTAAATGCTCCCCAACTCTTAATCGGAACACGGCACATAAAGAACTTAACATCTCAGATGATGGCAAGACAGCGGAATGGCTCAAGAGAACTCCAGATAAACCTGATCACCCAGATCGGTTCAAATACTGGTCACAGGTGCTGTCCACTGAGAGTTTCTCTGAAGGATGCCACTTCTGGGTGGTGAATGTGGGGAACGTGGAAAACCTTCGTGTAGGTGTTTCTTACCAGAGTATTCTACGGAAAGAACCAGACAGTGCATGCCTGATGGGATTTAACAGCAGGTCCTGGTGTTTATGGAAACACGCTAACAAATACAAGGCCTGGCACGACCAGCATAGCACGGAGCTCGAAGTGGGTGAACATCCTCGCAGAATCGGTGTTGGCTTGGACTATGATAAACGGGTTCTGTCATTTTACAACGCTGACAACAATGAGCATCTACACACATTTTATGCTCACTTCTTTGAACCCCTGCATGTGGCTCTGTGGGTGTGGCGTGGGGTCCTCACTATTGAGCATGTTAACAGTAACTAAACATGATAATTGGTTCTTTACCCTTCTATCTGGCAACAAAACTGACACCTTTTTGCAAGGAGTCATGTTTGCATAGACCGCAATACCTGCAGTCTATGCAAACATGACTCCTTGCAAAAAGGTGTCAGTTTTGTTGCCAGATAGAAGGGTAAAGAACCAATTATCATATTTTTACTGGCAAATGAGGTCCCCATAGTGTAGATGCTTGCCCCGAGCTCTCATACTCTGATGGTGCATTGTCCTTGAGTTGTGCGCCTTTTGGCGTCATCTGGTCCAACCCATATGAGACTAGGCTCGAAGGAAAGCTGTCTCGGGTGTGGACCAATCAACTTCAAGGACAGTGCACATTATCAGAGTTATGTTTTTTTTGTTTGTATTATGACTGCAGGTATTGCGGTCTATGCAAACATGACTCCTTGCAAAAAGGTGTCAGTTTTGTTGCCAGATAGAAGGGTAAAGAACCAATTATCATATTTTTACTGGCAAATGAGGTCCCCATAGAGTAACTAAACATGGATACAGTTTAATTAATTTATTCATAAAAAATAATAACGATAATCAGATTGCCATATATGTACGTATGTTGAACTTCTTTCGCACCGTTCATAGCCAACCAAAGGTGTTTACAGTAACCATATTGTTTTCACTGCCATGTGCATTGATAATCTCTCTATATAAACAATATTATAGGTTAGGAAAGATCTTACCTAAAATATGCTTCTCCAAACATAGTACTTTCATCTTTAGATTTTCGCTCGTTCGTTTCTCAATCTGCTTGTCCTGGTGTGAGGGTCGCTGGCCCCCGAGATCCCTCCCTCTGTACCGCTAACGGCCGTGTTAACCTCATTATTAACCTCATTACTCGCCCCCTCGCTACTAGGCGAACCGCTGTTGGGTTCTTCACCCATGGGGTGAGAGCCGTCGCTCGAGGATTCCCCTCCCCAGCGGGTCCGCGTAATAGGCATGGTTAATTACGTACGCGCACACCCACACACAGCTCTGCGCGGCACTCACTCAATACAGACCCCTCACGTTAGGATCGCGCACCTGTATTATACACGTAGTGAACGTGCGCGCACACACGCATACAGCTCCACACACGATACCCACTCTTGCGCCGCTCTGCGCAGCGCTCGCCGCCTGCTGGCCGCTTACGTTATGATCGCACACCTGGGGTACGCCGATTACGCACGCCGCGAGCTTACGCACACACAGTACCACACGCGTTCCCACACGCTCACACTGCACGACAAGATCACGCGAGACCACGCTTCGCTATTAATGATTTATTACCTGGTAACTAATGTTGAATCAGTGAGTCGACGAGGCTGGCCTATTCCACTAAACCGGCACCTATTCCCTATTTATCGGCTATTATCCTACTTCACCTCCCCACTCACTGTTTGGCGCCCGCGGAGGTTCGCTGCTCCCTGCGCTAACAACGTACCTCGATGCGTCTCACGGACGTCCGGGTCGCTGGCTGGAGCTGCTGCTGATCCGCTGGCCTGGAGAGAAGAGAGCGATTTCCCCTCTGCGCTCCTCTATTTATCCTCCCTACCTCAAAGGGGATGCTGCGCTGAACAATGGGCTCGTGCACCCCGAGCCCGCGCACGGCGGTTCCGGGCGCTTTTGATCTGCTAATCAGTGAGCGGCGTTGGCGGCGTACATCCTAATTACTCCCTTACCCTTCCTAACAATGGGGCCTGCGCGCTCAAGCGTAATTATGCCGTCCCTCCGCTGCCGGTGCGGGGGTGCCTGATTATGCAGTTCAGATGCGCTGCGTGTTTTCTAATGATGCTCCTCCATCACAATGCTTATTCCCTCTGCCTGCCCCGTCGATACTGGTGTGTGGGGGGAAATGCGCCTCAACAGCGGTGGCCGAATGCCCCACGCCGCGACCACACCATATTAAGGCCGGTCGCAGCGCCGCGGCGCAACGTAGCACGGAGGAGGTCATCCAATTCCCTGATCGCCGGAAACCGTGAGAGTTGATCACGATAAGGGTTTCTCGGATAAAAACCGGTCGGCCAGGCGACCTCCCCTCGGAGCTCTATGGGGGGGGGGGGGGGGGAAATGAGTGCGGGTGTGTTCATGTGAGGTGAGGTGAGGAAGACAAGGGGTCGGCTCCGTTGCTTGGTGGTGGCGAGGTCGGAGATTTGGCGCCTGCCGAACGGCTTCGTGGCGGCGGCATCACATAGCCCCCCGAGGTGCCAGTCCCCGTCCCGGGTTGACTGGAGTACCTCGCTTGGGCCGCGCCCACGAGGAAACGTTGCGGCGTCCGGGGGATCCGTCCGGACCTGGTGGCTGGCCTCGGGGCGGGTGGTTCCGTCCTCTGCAGCTCCTGCGGCGGCCTCCTCCTCCACTCCAGCGGCTCTCCCCGTCCTCCGGCACCTGTGGGCTGGGGCACAAACTCGGCAGCGGAAGGGTCTAGGGCCCGTCGTCCGCGCCGTCTCCGGACTGGATCGGGGCGTCTCGGGGGTCCGGCGGGGCCCATGTAGTGTGCGAGGCCCCCCAACACGAGGGGTGCGGGTACTCCGGGATTTCGGGGCCTTCGGGTGACGGGGTTCTCTCTCGCCGGGGCCGCTTTCCACGGTTTTAAGCGGCGGACATTGACCACCGTCTCTCGACCCCCCTCCCCGCCATAAATTAGTACCGTCCAGGGGGATATCTGCCGCACCACGGTCCAGGGTCCCCGCCAGTAGGTCGTCAGTTTCCCCACCTGCCCGGCCCCGACGCGAGGAGTGTGTAGCCACACTTTAGCGCCTGTCAGGAATAAGGGGGGTTCCATGAGGGGTCGGGTGCCCTGTTCCTGCCGCCGATGCGCGGCTTCCCCTTGCGGGTATGCTCGGCCTCGGGCTTCTCGCAGGGTCTCCAACAGGTGTTCCACGGGGCGGCTTCCCTCCTCCGGCTGGGGGGAAGGGACGCCGAATAGCAGATCTGCGGGTAAACGAGACTCACGGCCGAACATCATTAAAAACGGGGTTTGTCCCGTCGACGTGTGTACGGTGGTGGCGTAGGCGAAAAGGGCGTAGGAGAGGTGTTCGTCCCAATCCCGTTGATTTGCAGCCGCCATACGTTTGAGTTTCCCCGCTAGGGTCTGATTCATGCGTTCTACCATACCATTCGCCTGGGGGTGGTACGCTGTGGTTCGGTCCTTCTGGATTCCGAATTCTCGGCACAGTGCCTGGAACAGCTCGGCCTCGAACTCGCTACCCTGGTCGGTGAGGACTCGTTCTGGGATCCCGTGCTTGAGTACGTAATGTTCCACGAATGCCCGGGCCACCACCAAGGCCGTTTTATCAGGGATGGCCACTGCCACGGGGTAGCGGGTGAAATACTCTACTGCGACTAGAATATACCGGTTGCCTCGATGGGATCGTGGGAAAGGCCCCTGTAGATCGATCCCGACCAGCTGATTCGTGCGGCTGACGCGGAACGGCCTTAGGGGTACCTGGTATCGTGCCGGTTTCGGCCCGCACTGCTGACAGGCGCGGCAGCCCTGTACCCAGGCCGCCACGTCTTGTGCCAATTTGGGCCAAAGATACTGGCGACGCAGGGTCTCTCGAGTGCGTCGTTCCCCATCGTGGCCCCCGAGTGGGTGGTCATGCACCAGCCGTAGCAGCTGGGGTCGCACCTGGGCAGGAACACAGATGCACCCCGGCTGGCCGGCCTCGGTTAACTCCCGTACCACTCCGTTCTGCACACACAACCGGGCATACAAACCGCTCCAGGGTCCTGGTAGGGCGCTCTTTTCCTCCCGCAGTGCCGCCTCCACTGCCGCCAGATCCGGATCTCGCTGCTGGGTCTGTCTCAGCTGCTCGTCGTTTAGGCCCGGGAAGGCACAGCCGACGTCCTCCTGGATCCGTCCGATCGGGTCCCGAGCCGCGGGTCCCGCGCTTGCCGGGCGGTCGACGGGATCTTCAGTGCCACCTGTGAGGGCCTCTGTGGCGCACACTGCACTCTCTCTCGCTGGGGGGGGGTCAGTGGCCGCGGCCTCTCGGGGGTCCGTTGCCTGCCGGCAGCGTCCCCCCGTGAAACACGGGCAGGCCTCCTCCGCCCTCGTCTCGGCGTACACCGTGGGTCGCCTCGACAAGGCGTCCGCGTTTGCATGCGTCCGGCCAGCCCGATACTCGATTTGCAGGTTGTACTCCTGCAACTGCGCCAACCACCGGGCCATCTGCCCCCGCGGCTCCTTGAATGTAAGAAGAAACTGCAGAGCATAATGGTCAGTGCGTACGCGACATCTCCTGCCGTACAAATACGGCCGGAACTGTTTGCATGCGAAAATCACGGCGTACAACTCTTGGCGGGTCACGCAATAGTTCAGCTCGGCCCCACTCAAGGTCCGGCTGGCGTACGCGATGACTCGTTCCGTCCCATCCTGTACCTGTGACAACACCGCGCCCAGCCCGCTGCTGCAGGCGTCGGTGTCCAGAATAAAATCGGTGGTAAAATCGGGGAAAGCGAGGGTGGGGGCGTGGGTGAGGTGGTCTTTGAGAGTGGTGAAGGCCGTCTGGCAGGCCCCCGTCCACTGATAGGGGTGCTTAGGGGAGGTGAGTTGGGTGAGGGGGCGTGCAATCTCGCTGAATCCCTTTACAAATCGACGATAATAGGTGGCGAGCCCCAAAAATGATCTGATCTCCGTCAGAT